TGGGCAGATTTAAGGCGCACGGATGAAGAAATGTAGGTAACGGAACTGGCGCTCTTTCTTTTACTTTTAAGATTAGTTCAAGTACTTTTTTAAATCACATTTTGAATTGCAGTTCTTCAATGCAACTGCCCGCCGGCCGCCGCCGGTAGACTACGCTTTTGACCCGCTCAAAAATCTCTCGGCGTTTTATGTTACAGGACCTTTCATGACAAGAGTCAGTTAGACGCTTTTGGGAAACCGTTCCAGATAGTTTGCTTAAACCGGAAGACCACACTATATTTGTTATCTTGAATAGAAAACTCTTTTTTATATAATGTTTAGGCGAGTCAAAATCGACACAAAAACTATATTCGACGTTTTTCATGTGGTACACTTTTTCCATAACGTTTAAAGAATTGCAAACTTGGGTTACGCTAAAGAATGAAAAATGGATCCAAACAAGATACATCACGTTTTGTTGATTTATTAGTCCATTTTGACTGTCCTACGTAGGTATTCTGCATTTTATTCTAAACATTTTAGTAATAAGTACCTACATTAGAACTTTAAAATTAGTAGCTAGTTTTTGACAAAAATAAATTTCGGTTTTTGACTTGAAACTTTAATTGGAAAACTTTCATGCATTGAGAATTTTCCATAATTAAGTTCCATCTTTTGTGTATCTGACCTGATGTTCGAATGTCAGAAAATGGGTTAAGTGGCAACGCTCCTCAGTGACGATTTTCCCATTATAAAAACGACCAAAACTTAAACTTTCTCAAATCCAATCCAAATTTTTCTAGATAGGAAAAAGGAGCCCATTAAATTAGTATCCAAAACAAATGTCAATTTCGATCTATCTAGAAAATTATTAATATACAAATTATTTTTTATTCTTCTGTATTAGGGAATTTTACCCAAACACTTTTGAAGATGTTTGGTGACAGATGCGGCCGGTAAAGTGACAGGCGACAGGTAAGGTAAAATTTCCTGATGGGCCTAGTTTATGTAAATAACTACTAGTAGAATATATCACGAGTCAATAGTGATAGCTATTATTCTCGAGGAATATTTACGAACTGGGCCTGAACCGACGAGGGAGTAAAATTCCGAGAGTATAATAGCCATTATTGCGAGTAATATACTCTACTTTACCTACCACTAATTTAATAGCTTGAGATTTTATCCATTTTAATACAAAAAAAGATACACAAACAATACACGACCCGCTTGACATTTACACTTTTGACGTTTTGTTTCCATGGATGATATTAAATTTAAGGAAATTTTGCGATTGGAGTACAAGAAGGTGTAAGAGCTATTAATCCCTGGTCATTAATCCCTAAGGGAATAATGGATTGCATTATACCGAACAAACCATAAGTATAATACTCACATTATACAGGGTGGTGCCTAGCGCAACGCAGCACAGGGATTTCAATTCAATGGTAATTTCTTTATAGTCAATTACTAGCTCCCCTAATTATTTTAGAGCAAAGTCTAAATACGTTTTTTTAGAGAAAAAAATACTGCATCTGTTCATACTTTTAGTTATAATTTTCCATTTTTCAAAACCGTAGAAATCAACAAAATAAAAAATTACATTTTTATAAATCAGTGATGCTTTGGAATCTTTTAACAAACTACAAGCGCATCGCATCTAAGTTATGGTTGTTTGACGTCGAACGATTTTCATATTTAATTCTGTTTCAACTAACCGACGCAATAAAAGGCATCTTAGGGTAATGTTTTTTTAGAGAATGTATGCTGCATCTGCATCAGATACTATTTGTTTATCATTGTCCGGAATCAGAGTACCTACGTAATCGAAGAAAAAAAACTGATTTGAAGAAGATTTGTTCCTAAACTTATATTCGGATTTTCCGCTACTGCAGCCAAAACGTTGAATGTATTGTCGTTTTCCTGATGGTTTTGACGGACATTTTGAACGTTATTGCACTTGCAGTTCTTTAACTAATTTATAAACAAGTATAAATTCAATGTACGTCAAAGGCAAAGTAATGAAACGCGATCGCTGTTTTTTTTAGGTAATTCCAAGGCATATTTGATTTATTGTAAAATGAACCTTTTTATTTTGTCGATTTCTACGGTTTTGAAAAACGGAAAATTATAAGTACCTAATAGTATGAACAGATGCAGTATTTTTTCTCTAAAAAAAAACGTATTTAGACTTTTGCTCTAAAATAATTAGGGGAGCTAGTAATTGACAATAAAGAAATTACCATTGAAATCCCTATGCTGCGTAGCGCTAGGCACCACCCGGTATATTAGTCGCAGAAAACGTAGTTTGGTCTGCCTCTGTCATGGAAACTAAAATTCCTGACAGAAAGTAGGCATGAAAATGAATGTTTCATAATAATTATTGGCGCGGAATTAATTTGTGCACCCAGGAGTATATTATGCAATGTGAGACAATCCGGTGTTTAGGTCAATCCCTATGCATTTGTGCCAGCAATGTCAAAGATGGCTTAGTAGGAGGGCCGAGGCGGAGAGAGATCTACGTTTAATTTAAAATCCAAATTCTATTTAAAGGCTTGTACAGATAAAACAAAGTACTTACAGTGTTGACGATAGCTTTAGTGCAGCCCTCAGCTAACCGTAATTTGGCGCCTTCGTAACGGATGTGGTTCGAGGCATAGTCTCTTCCTGGGGCTCCAAGACTCAGTTTGTCACCTGGTGAATTCGCCTCCAGCATATTCAGCCCATTAATTTTCCCCTCAATAAAATTCGACGCGGATTAATTCGAGTCATCAAATTCTCTCACGGTAGCAGCCTCGTAGGAAGAATTTATATCTCAAGGAAGCTGGAAGCAACACCAATATTTAGGGATAGGTACTATTTTAGGGTGGGTTTATACGATTATACATTCTATCATTAGATCATAGGCGATTTAATCTGTGATTAGACCCTTAAGAAATAGCCAATGTTTATTCTGCGTCGCTAACCAACGAAACCATAACGTTGTTTCTATTGGATATTTCTTAATGGTATATAACAGTCTCTTTAACAGTAAGGGTAGATAAAGTGAAACATCTGACATTCTTATTTGAAATGGGACGTGGAGCACGATATTAAATTACGTTCAGAACATGCTGGTTCTAGGGGAACGACCACAACGGCCGAACTTAAGCTAGACGTCTAAATTAAATTCACAATTGTCAGAAGCTTTACAATGATTTACATGGTTTCTACTATAAAATAAAGTTTTGTATTATAGGTACATGACGAGACGATAGCGGGAAACCTATTATCTCGTGAAAGTTAATTCGCTCAATGATTAAAATGTTCCTTTATAGTCTTATATAATAAATAACTATAATTCTTAGAATTAGAATCTCTTCTGTTTTATTGTGAACTCCAGAGAGGAACATGAAATGAATTGTATGGGATATTATTCTAGTACCTGCTCTTAAACGTTTTTTCAAAGAATGTTGTTTGCCAATGCTCAGTGTGGAGGAGCTTCCAATAAGCATACGAGTTTGAGTATGCAGCAAGATCCCTAGTGGTATCCACCTGATGCTATTATAACCCATACAAACCCTATATGTGTTAAATGGTGTCCAGATGCCCGTAAACACAAGGGAGCATATTAAACAGTAATAGGCCGTTTATGATATGTTATCTAACAGGATGAACGCGGGGTTTTGGTGTGCATCACGAGCGCCGGAGAAATATCTGCCTGATGCTATGCAACCCATACAACACCAAATGCATAAAGCAGTATCCAGATGCTGATGGACACTTTCTTCCATAGCCTATAAGGATGGGCACAAGACACAATGAAAGATAGTAAAATGCTACACAAATCATGTAACACTACATGCAAAAAGTTCTGTCCAGGTGCTCTGGACCTAAGGGGAGGTATTAAAGGAGGAGTCGAAATAGCTCTTAGAAACTTCCAAAGCTTCTTTGGGATTCTTGGTCACTTCCACACTCTTTAAAAACTAAAGGCGGCCGGCCACTGCGAGCGAAACGCATCTAAGCTGTACTGGATGAAGCGGCGACTAGGAAGTCATGTGCGGTATCGTAAAATCACGAGTAAAACTATGACAGTTAATTGTTGAGCAGTGCAATAAAAAATTAAAGAATCATTACTATATTTCAACCATTAACAGTATAAAAATATAATTTGAAGTAAACAGAACAAGACACCATAATAAATAATTTAAAACATTACAAATTAAAAAATGATGTAAACGTATAAAAATTAGTGAATACTGTATTCAAGTCCATAGAGCTGTGGGCATAATGCCTTCTACGGTACCCGGTGGTGGAGTTAATACTTCGTTACACATAAAATCCAAGGGAAGAAGTACAATATGTCCCAGAATCCTATTGAGCATTTGTTCCGCCTGGACGGGTTCATCGACATACAACGGCTGAAGTTCCTTATACTTTTTTAACTCCGCAAATGTCCGAACTTTATTGGATGGAATGCAATGGAAAACCGCTTCATAAATCTCCGTATTTTTAGCTGCAGTATCATACCAGATGTTTTTATAAAAAGCTTCACTAACCGGATCAATAACATTAATATCAATTTCTTCATTTTCTACACCTAACAGTCCTAAATGTTCCTTAAATAAACGTCGCCTTAGGGAACCAGCAAATTTTCCCAAAGGAAAAGGTTGGCTGTTCATTAAACCATCCTCAAATTCTTGGTCCTACAATGAAAGTAAGTGATTGTAATATCTACAGGTGCTTACTTCGATGATAACTGCCACTTCTGAATCTCTCTTCCCCAGCAATGATCTGTCATTAATGTTTGCAGAACCGCAAATGACGATCTTGTCGTCGACAATCATAAGTTTGGAATGTACATAGATCAGTTCGGTTACAGGTTCTCCACAAAGCACCGAGTGTGTTCGTAGACCATAGAAGGAGATATAGACTGATGGATCTGGTATTCCGTGATCTTTTAGTCTATTGAGAAGGCCATCTTTTCCACTGTAATATATTTTTTTAGGTGAGTGAGGCATGGCTTTGATGACATGATTAGTTTAACTGAAGGAAAATTTTAAACTTGGGTGAGAACGTACCGACAAATGGATGCATAATTCCAATGAGTTATTGCCTGTATAGACGCTCCGTTTGATTGACCTATCTCTCCCTCAAAGGCTGGCAGTAGTGGCATCACCACATACACCCTAAAAACACTCTTCTCTCTACAAGAAACAAAATTAACTAAAGCCAACCAATCGAAACTAATACTTATATGCGCGAACAATTCTAGTAAAAAGTGCCTCTGCAATTTGATTTAATGTGTTTAAGTTATTGCGGGGCAGTGAAATAAAAAATTGATTTTCTATGTAGATGTAATGTTGAGCCTTAGCGATACAATCGACGTACGCCTCATGAATACTTTGCTCCACAATATCTGGCTCGATAAACCCGCAGGACCACGCACTCACGCTTCTTAAAACCTACAACCTTTAGACTCGCACACAAAAATTCCTCAGTCAAGCTGGACTCACCTGACACGTGACGTTCTGCGATTTCGCTTGTAGAAAATTTGACTTTAAAGAACAATCTACATATGCCTTGGGTAGCAAGTATGGGCAGGTGTAGTTTTGCTTGGCCATTTCGTTTTTGGCGGCGTTCCAGCGTTGGATAAAGTGACGCGCAACGTCTCTTGCGGTGGCGTTTTGCACGCAAACGGCCATGTCGTGCCAGGGCATTCGGGGCGTTGTAGTTCGATCGACTAAATCGTCAAATGGCTCTTCGAGATTATTGAAGTCTTTGACGATAAAGTTCACGTAATCTTTGCCCACCCAGAACTTGGCTGATCCGTCTAAATCGTCGACGACATCGTCCAGTTCGCTAATAGTGGCAGGTCCGTTTTGTAGTTCTCCTGGTGCGTATGATAATTTGGCCAAGTGTTTACCTTTGCCTTTTATTCCTTGCTTGATTGTCGCCATAAGCGACTTTCGTTCAAACTCTGGTGTATTTTGCTTGAAGAAGTCCTTTGGCTGGGGCACTTGCAAGCTACTGCTTGCCGCTGGTAGAGACATGGGTCTTGCCAGTTCTTGTGCTGCAGTCGAGGGAGAGTCGACAATAAGATCCGGCATGTATAGTTTTGAGTTGGATTTAGATACAGAAATAAAAGGAAATTCCCCACTTGGAGAACTGGAGGTTTTTTTCCTTTTAGTTGGGGTAATTGCAGAATGAATAAGACTGCCCAAATCAGTTAACCTAAAACTGTTTTGTCACAAACATGTGATGCGTTGGCATGGATGGTACCTATGTTTTGAGTCGTCCCATCGACCATAGCATAGGTCAATTCCACCTAAAAACGCTATTGATTGGTCGACGATGACGAGTTTTTCGTGATGTGCCCAAAGAAAAACGCCCGATTTGGCGTGTTGAGGATGTCGCATGACCTTAATGTTATCATTGCCATTGCGCACAAGCCTTTGCTTGCTGTAAAAGCTGTTGATCCCTATTGCCATCTCCACCTCCTTGTAAAGAAGCACGAATACTTTAACGCCTTCCTCCTACAATAGTATCCTGGTGTGTTCTCCCATAGCAACGTCTCAACTTACAGATTTCCGTTGTAAAACTTTGTCTAGTCTCCAATAATCACCACGCAGTGCAGGCCTTTTCAAATAAATCTCTGGACTCAACCACCAATCGGCAATAAAAATTTCCTCCTTTGCATTACTCAAAGCGTCGGCAACTGCCGACATGTACCCAGCACCGTCGACAAACCAAGTGGCATTTATACTATTTCGAACCGGCGCAAACGAGTGCCTTTGATTGTACTGGGTGAAATCTCTCGCTGAAATGCGACAAAATATAGATCCTCTACAGTCAGTAATTCAAACCTTGATTGTGGGCGACTTCTTTCAACGCGCGTATCCACTCTCTGCACTTTCGCCTCGTCCAACAATTAATGACAAGCTGACGGGTGTAAGTCGAAATTTGCACTCCGGTGTGCAAACCCAAAGCGCGTAAGCCAGAACTAACTTCGAAACCTTGATCAAATAAAATTACATTACCGATTCGGCCCGTTTTTGGATGTATATACCCAAAGCACTGATCTTTAATGAAAAACCAACGATCGCTCCACGTCGAACACAGCACGTCGTTACACAAATGCTTACATCTGAAGTGGTAATGGAAATTTTTAACGGTATCATTCCAACAGTTACTTTACCTCAAGCAACAATCGCCGGTAAACAAACCCATGAATTTACAACCTTCGCCCGAATTTCCCAGACGTTTCTTTACCATTCCTTCTTGCCCTTTGAAACCCAAGTCGTGAATGAAAGACAAGTGAGACAGTTCGAAAAACTGTATCTAAAAAAAGATTGATCAATTTATTATTGTGAGAATGCATTGGTATGTTAGAATGTAAATGATTGAACAACACTAATGCCTCGACTAGATGCTTAAGCCAATGGGAAATTTACATACCAAATCCTCCAACTTAAAAGAAAAAGATCAACAAATAGCGATCAATGGTACTTTTTTTTAACAATTTTAGAATGGGGTAATAGATGCTAATGTGCAGTTTTTCATGGAAGAAATGTGCAAGTAGACACAAATATTGCAAATGAGCATATTTCAACCTCCTCCGCCCCATAGTGGGGTGGGGTCGATGGGTAAGAATGTCATATGACGCCGTTATCACCGCCCAGAGGGGCTAAATCCGAACGGATCTGGCCAGAAGGATTATGTCTCTTTGATCTTTTAAGAGTAACAGCAAAAAAATTATAATTGCTTGTAATTAAAAGCTCTTAAATCGCTCGTAATTCCAGTAGAAAAATTAATTTGGGAAAGTTAATTCCAATCCGCGAGGGTAGGCAAAGAATCCAAGTAGACTAGGTCATTCCATACCAAATTCCAACCGAGCTGTACAATTTTAATAGCTCTGTCACGTATCGTCTGGTTTCTTCTGGTATTTTTAGGTTGATACATACTACCTTACCAGTTCCAGCGCACTATGAAATAAGAAGCAACCAAAGGGTAGACGAATTGGCTCGCGAAAGCAGTAGGAGGGTCATCGCCGGGCCCTAGGAATTATTCCCTCCATTGCCAGAGCCAGGATTAAAAGCTGGGTGACCGATCAATTCCAGGCTCATCACATCACATCACCTGGACTGGAGTCTTTTAGATTTCTAAAACTGAATAGACGCAAGATCAGGGAGTTCATCAAGGTCCTCACGGGCCACTAGATGATTATAAAAAAACATTTACTTATATTTTTATTCAACAAACCATTCATACAGGATTATTTCTGAAAAATAGTTCACCTTGTTTAATATCATGCGCTAAATGACAAATCGCGCTATCAAACAGGCATATCTCATATTCAGTGAGTCGAGGTATTCCCAGGTTTCTTTCAATACCTCTCGATCCGAGCAACAGAGGCGTGGCCAAGTACTTAACGTCGCGATGTTGATCGGACATAACGTATGCACATTCGACAATGTTGGAACGGGACGACAATGCCTTCACTAGCGATATTATGAAACGAGAGATGGAAAACGCCCAAGCTAAAGTCGACGCCTCTCTCTTCTTGATTCTGACAATGTCCTGGTGGGCATTTTGCACGTTGGTCGTTAATGTCTCCAACTCGTCTTTTGTAAAATCAGAGTAGGGGGTCGCTTGCGAGTAAACGGGTACGATAGTCTTCTCTGAGTTACCCCCAATTACCGGTACGAAAACACACTCAGGCTCAACGCCAAGCACTTCTGCTGCAAAAGCATTCGCGCGAACTCCATCCAATGTGGTAATACCAAAGACGGCGTTAGGTCGCAGGACACCTTTCTGTTTTAAAATCTCGCAGGCTAACGGAATCATACTGTTCACTGGAGGTACGGCGATGGCCAAAAGAGCTTTGCTAGAATGATCTGCAATGCGGTACATAAGATCTCGCAAGACCAAACCATTACTCTCCAGCATTTTTCCAGGTGGCAGAAAAGAGTGTCTTCCTGATGTTGCTAGAATGGCGATTATTTTCGCGTCTTTCACTGCAGAAGCTATCGTTTCATTACCCACGTGAGACGCTACCTTGCAATTGGTATCAATGTGGGATAACTCAGTTGCAAATCCGCACGTGTTATTACTGTCATGCAACGCTATTTCATCTACAAGCGGCGACTGCTTCAGCAATAAACTAAGAGGCCGACCAACTTCATTGTTTGCGCCAATTATTGCTACCTTCATTAAATTAGACCGGGCATAAGCTCTGACAAATTTTATAACGACTCGAGGGGAGATTGTTTTACAAGAATTTTGTATTAACATTTTGAGCAAATTGTCAAAAATATTTTACTGACTTGGATCTTGGATAATACGAGTATGCTTTCCAGAGCAATCAAACGCCTTCTAGCGCATTTATATCACTCCCTACAACCAAGCCGCTAGTGGTTCTGAAGGGACTCTAGAAATAATAGACTGCTTTCAATTGGTCTGGGCCACCTGTAGAAGCACCAATAAAAGGCGTTCAAATGACTTTCTACGGTCCACTGGCGCTTAACGCTTTCTGAAGAAGCGCTTGACCTTTTCTAGACTTTTCTAAAACTAGGCGAATTTCCTTTGGAAAGTGTCTGTAGATGTCCTGTAGAGATCTTCTGGCACATCTCGAATCTAGTCACACAGTTTGATACGCACTCCAGCCATATATCAACAGATGGGGCACGATTTCAAAATAATTCATTGTCAATTTTTGACATTTAGAAAATTAACAACTATCAAAATTAAATCAAATTTGATCGAATTGGTAAAATTATGAGTCTCAAGGCAATTACTAGTCTATTATTCCAAAGTCACTTTCACATTCCAAAAGTAAGTTTACGACAACAATCCGTACAAGTGACCGTTTGTGGTGCTAGCGGAAAGGTTGGTCAAAGCTTATCGCTTATGCTGAAGCAATCGAGACTTATCGATCGTTTGGTATTGTTCGACGTGCAACAAGTGAGAGGAGTTGCGGCTGAACTGAATCATATAGATTTGAAATGCAAGGTCGTGTCAGAAGCTGGGGAGCTACAGCTCAGTGCGGCGTTAGAAAAGGCGGATGTGGTCGTAATTGTCGCCAGCGCCAGTAAGGTGTCGGATCCGCTATCTTTGGCAATGTTTGATTCCAACGCTAGCCTAGTGAAAACTATCACAGAAGCTTTCTCAAGGGTATGCCCTAATGCGATACTAATTATGGGAACAAATCCAGTGAGTAGCCTTGTTCCGTTAGCCAGTGAAATTTTGAAGACGAAAAAAGTGCTCAACTCGAAGAAGGTGCTAGGAGCCAGTTCACTGAATGTGATTCGAGCAAATGCGTTAGTTGCAGAGACATTTCATTTAACTCCAGAAAGTATATCGGTACCGGTAATAGGAGGACCGTCAGGTTTAGCCGTTGTACCTATACTGTCGCAAGTGAAACCTCATTTAAAATTTACAAAGGAGCAATTAATCTGTGTAACTGACAAATTACAATCGGCAGATCGCAATGTTATCAATCTCAGGCATGCTAAGGAATGCGCATATCTGTCATGCGGCTATGCCCTTGCCAAATTCGTTGTGTCTGTAGTAAAGGGATTAAGGGGTGAAGCGAATATCATAGAGCAAGCGTTCGTACACTCAAAAGTGCATCCGCACACAAAGTATTTCGCGACACCAGTACTGCTAGGAAAAGGCGGCGTGGAGAACAACTACGGCATACCGAAGGGCATCACACAATACGAAACGTGTCAAGTGGAGCATGCAGTATCCTTGATAATAGATGACGTTCGAAGAGGAGAACGATATTGTGACATAGATGAGTTGAAACCTTGCGACCCTTGTTCACTTAACCAGACAACGCCCTGCCCACCGAGTTGGTGCCAAATGGTCTAAAAAGTCAACTTACCGTTTCTGGATGATTTCTGTAGATGTTGATTGCAAGTAAATTGTTCAAATAATCTTCCAATTGTTTTATTCTATTCTGTAGGCGATCATGAGATATTAAAACTTCCGGTTTGTTTGGAAATCTAAAACAACACTTAATTAATTCAATTATTTTCAGTAGTATTCAAAGCAAAGCGTTATCTTCAAATGGCATGCTACGCAACAACAAAATAACGTGGGTCAAAACTAAAACAAATATAATATTCCGGTCAAAATAGTAAAAATGTTTATAGTGTAGTACCAAACTAAAAAATGAAGTGAAAAAGACAATCATTAACCAGTGTGATCTTTCGAAATGCTCACCATTTGCAATGGAGTCATTGTGCGCTTAAATGACACTTCATTAATCTTGTTTCTACAACAAAAAAGGGAGCCCAATCAAAAATTGAAAATAATTGATCTTAGTACAAAACAAGTATTTCACACTTTTTACTCGCTCTATCTAAATCTCTCAACAAGATCTTCTTCCCTTTCCCCAAACAGTGTCTTCTCAAGATATTTTCCCGCCCACACTAGGTCACAATAATCATAAATAAAGTACTCACGGCCCTCACACAAGGTACCACATTACCGTTAAAATTAACATACACATACAAGAACCAAATTGACTGCCATATTGGTACAGACAAAAATTCCGAAGACTAACTACGTTTCAAAAATACAAAAATGGACAATCCCACCAAAACCTACCTAGGTAAAGCTCCTTTACGTTTACCCGATTTACTAACAACAGCATTGTTCTTAAAGTTATCCCTACGCTGGCGATGCGTTTTTGTAGGGAACGGTATATTTAAAGACGTCCTAAACAACACAAGCTGCTGATGGAGGTGTTGAATGTGTTTATATCGCCTTTTCACCTGCCAAGTAAAATCGCCATGTGTCAACGTGATGGTGTATCTAAAATGATTCGTTTTGCTACAGTTTGCATAGCTAGATAACAGTCTTACAGGTTGGGATTTAAGAAGTGCGACGTTAGGTTTCTGTCACTCTGCTCGATTGCAACGGTTACATCTAGCCCCGGTACAAAGATTTTCCTTTGGTAGGATTTGAACTTACCACTGCTGGTGAAGATTGTCGAAAAGGGTATTGCGTCAACCAAATCTGTAATGAAATGGTGTTGGAATAGAACATATGGGGGGTGTATTTACCTGTCTTATAATCATTCTCATCGTCTTCGACCAGGACAGGTTTACCCTCGACAGATATCATAGTAAGAAGGACTGGAGGGACGTCCAATTTGTCATCAAAGTCATCATCACTTAATGTTGTGGATCTACTCAACGTACGAGTATGTGTCGAAGTTTCCATTGTAAGTATGTGTTCGTTCGGTGAATTTCTGTTCACGTAATTCGAATTGCAGGCAAATATTTGCTTAAATTTGTGGTTTCCTGCTTGATTTAATCCTAAACCATGAAAAGAGGATTATCATGTTTCATATCAGATAAAAGGTTGGATTATTTATAAAAACCACTTGTTAAATTATCACAGCATCACGTTTGCCTTTAGCAAAAATTTATCACAGATTGTTTATATTCAATTATTTTAATTCAATGTGGCGTTTATAAATAAAGTGCTAAATTGTAAACAACTGTAAATAATGCAAACAAATTTTTAAGCAAAATTATAGAAACATCTGAATACTCAAAACAAAACACTTAATTCATAATTGTGAATTGTGCTGACCTCTCGTGTCTGCCATAGGGAAGTAAACTAGGAGTTTTTCTGTAAGCGCGACGGAGATTTGTGTAATATTGGTTATTGGATAATTTAAAGAGCTGAATACTAAGTAAAAAAAGATACAGAAAAGGGTAGTTCCACTTGGCACAAACAAATAAGCGCATTTGATGAATTTTCTATACTCTTCTCCAGTGCCGGTTTAGGAACATTTTCTCCCCTAGGCACAGCCCTTTAATAAATGCATTTATAATTTATAACGCCCCAAACAACACTTCTCAATAAAACGACAGATATGTACCTAATCACTTTGTAGTACTACCATTGAATAATAAATCCTTCACTCAACGGTACTACGACGCATTTAGACTAATGGGAATGAGACCTAGATTTTTTAAATTGAAAATGCAATTTATGCCAAATGCAAATAAATAAGAAGCACACACAAGAGCAAAAAGGGGAAGGTAAGCATAAAATAAACTGCCTGCAAAGATTTGCTGCCTGGGACACCCACACGTACACCTTCATAGTAGTCTCGCTCTGGATTAAGGCCGCTTGACATGGAGCAATACAACGCGCAAGAACTTGCAGAAAGAAATTGCAAGGTCAAATCCTTGCATGCAATAAGAATTGCATGGCATTTGACATGGTGCAATTCTATTTCAATTGCCACATGTCTGCCAACAGAAGAAAAATATGAATTTGTCAACAAAGTTGCTAACCTCAAATAAAAATGAAATTTTGACTGCTTGAAGAAACATGAAAATTACAAGAATAAATAAGATTAATAAAAACAAGTAATGAGTGCGTCTCTAAGCATCATAGTTGCCGCCGCTGTGTTTTACTAGGTTGGTGACACAAAACCAACTAGATTTATCCCTAGAATTGCGCGATTCATGCAAGAAAAATAGCACCGGTCCTATAAAAATTGCATGCAAGTCTCTTGCAGCAATTGATCAGCTGGCTTTGAACTGCGCATGCCTTTCGCAATTTTTCTTGCAACTTGCATGCAGCAATTTTTATTGCTCCATGTCAAGCGGGCTTTACGGATATCAATTTGATACAATTGCAGTGATTACAGCTTCTCAGTTTTCATATCCTGTTATAGTAGGTAGGTAAATGTACACATTTCAAAATGAATGTGTAATTACTGTTAATTTTTGTCGTAAAAGTGATACAACACTAATAAGGAATTAAATTTAAAAAGTCGTAAGCACATCGTTATAGGAATTTCCATTCAGTGTGCGTACTGCTCATGGCGTACGATACCTGGTGGTGGCACTGGCGGCTGCCGCCCCTGAATGGTCGGCGCCCCTAGGCCCGTGCCTACGTGCCTTACTGGTAAACCGGCGCTGGTCTTCTCTAATTAAAGTAAATAAGCCGCATGGAACAGTTCGTTCGAACATGCAGACATAAGGCGAAGGCAGGAATAAACCAATCCCTTTCGGAATGCGATCAAAAATGTCAATGTGCAGCGGATTAAGATTTATCATTGAATTTAAATGGTACCATCTTTGGGAGGTTTATTGCAGATAATAACCTTTCGGAATTTCCTGATCTCGTTCTAAGTATTCTTACCTATAGCCCAGATGTCACGAAGGGTAGGTAATTAGTCATCGTACTTTGCAATAAGTGAGACTAACCCCAAACAAGTTTTTATATATAAACGGGAGCTGCATCTGCAACTTTCAGTCACATCATTTCTATAAATAGAAGAGGCCCTTGTAATTTTTAAGAGTAATTTTAAAGTTATAATTATGCCAATAATAGACGATTTCCAACGAAACAAGTAGGTACTTACCTATCTGTCGAAAATCGGTATATCTACTATATCGGGTATATTAAGGAGATATAACGATGCACACCACTGCACCTCTGCAATTATATGTTTTTGGGCACTGTTTGCATACAATATTACTTTCAGATGTACCCTTAGTTAGGGGATAGTTTTCCGTTCCCTAATTATTACGGAACTATATCATAAGAAGTGTTCAGGTCATCAATTCCGTCTTCAATTATTACATTTTTAGCGCATTTTTGCAAATTTATTTGTAAAAAGTAGCTTTTAATTTAATCCCACTTTGGCTGGCTGGCTGGTGGTTGGCGGCAAATGTGGGCGCGTAGAAGACACATTATATGGCAAACTCGACGCATCACCAACGTTCGTCTAGTTTGCCATGTAATGTGGGGCCGTCTTTAGAGGTGGAGGTATTACAGTATGTTGTGTACCTTGTTGTGAGCGAGTATTGTTGTTTCCATGTATACGTTGTGGATCATGTGTGTATGTATTATCATGCGTTATGTTTAGGAATTAGGTAATACCTATAACTCTCGCCAGGAAAGATTGTAGTACCTACTAGCGGTATACCAAAAGATACTGCATTTTCTTATACCAAGGTGCCACTTGGTACAGCTGTTCCTTAGAGCCATTTAGACGATTTGGCCCGAAGAACACTTGACATTTTCCGTGTGGGTGGATTTTAGAGGGGGTGGGGGTGATTGATTGTAACATTTTTTTAAAAACTAAATATGACCTAGAGACGAGATCTGGGTGTCGATTTCGTATGATTTTAACCCGACTTGATCCCGATCTACAATCTCTGTTTTTCGTAAGGTGCTAGCGACGCGACTTCCGGGATAGTATCGTGTCGATGTTGAACGAAAAGACTTTTTGTTCAACATTAGCACGATCTTCTATTCCAGAAGTCGCTCGCATCTTAATAAAAACAAAGATTGTAAATCGACACAAGGTGTGCTGTGACCGGCAATCTTTCCCGGCGAGAGTTGTACCTAGATGGTCATGGTTTTACAAAATTGCTTGTCTTACGAGCTTTCCGAAAATGTATGATATACCATACCTATTTTCAATAATAAATGATAATTTTCAATAATAATACATACTTTGGCCCTAACTTTGTAACGTGAAACCCTCATAAGTTAACTACCGATAACATTCATTTCAAATATATTTTGTCAAGTACCTACTAATTCTTGTGATCTGTTTCATGTGCGAGTTCGACTTGCTATACTTAAACGCGTGGACACTGGAGAGCCAAGCAGCCTTACTGAAAAGTGAAATCAGCTGGAATCACCGGAGTAGGACAAAAGGACACCGTAATCTGAGTCTTTTGAATTACCTTGCGCCCAACCATCCGAAGCTTCCCAAGACTATTCTCAATTTCTAGTGTGTAAATACGTATTGTTTTTAATATTTTTGTTTTGGGTACCAGGTAACGGGCGGTCGAAAAAGGATTGACGTCGAGTCGCCTTTGGCCTTTGGAAGTTCAAATTAAATATGATTTCCCATATAAACAAAAACTCCAAAGGTCACTCGGCAGCAACTCTTTTTTGATCGCATAGTACTTACTACACGTATTTAGTGTTATATGTAGGTATTGTAATTGTTTAACTTGCGACTTGCGATCTCGTTAGGTTTTCATGACCATATATAACTTGCCACTTTTTGTTATGCGCGTCTAGCTCTAAGTTTAAGGTTCTTTAGTATTAATTCATTTACCTTTTTGTCTGTATTAGATAATAATTATATTAAGTTAGCCCAAATCATTCTGGATTTAAATCAAATTGTTGAACGTTTTTACTTTCGCCTATCTATAGGCAGTTGAAGAATATGTTTTTGTACTTGTATGTGGAGATACCATTCAAACCATACCATAAAACAACTTTTACCCGACGCACCCATAGATGCCTAAAGTTATTTTTGATATAAATCAATTATCGGTCCACTAAAGCCTAAAGGTTACACAAGAAATAAGAATTTCATGAAATTTCAGATAAGTACTTAATGACTAAGCCTAGCTTAAACTTGATACTAAATGCTAAGTATGAGAAGGGACAAGTGCCTAGTAAGAAAGAACAGGTATAATTATTAATTAATTGTGAATAATGATATTGCTTGAATCTAATTTAATATTTACTAAACATTACCAGAAATATGATGGGGGACTTAAATGCTCAGAAAACAGGGCAGAGTAAAGTCACTGTGTATAATTGCTAAATGATTGGAATGCTCATTCCAACCCTTTAGCAATGTACATTAATTTTCACATGTACCCCGTTCGTCGTGCATTCCAGTCGTCGCCGAACATCCCTGGGGATGCATGGAATCCTTTAGTACAATATAGTATTTCCGACCAAAAAAGTATCCGTATAAGATCAAATAATCAACAAGCAGGATACGTGTACATCCACCATAAGCATCCTGATAATTTTGCAGTACGACGAATAGTTTCTGATGATCATTACTTTGCATTTATCATTTTTGTAATGTTAAATCGTCAGGATACACCTATAAGCAGGCATACCAAGCCACCTGAATTTCCTGTTACTTTAGACGTAATTTAAGGAAGGAATTGCACGTACTTACTGTTATTTTGATGACGTTTCCATTGCGTGACGTAGTTAGCTCTGTGCACAGATATACTGTTACTATATCATGATATTATTTCCTGATGATTTCTCCGTATTACGTTTGGTCGTTTTTTAAGAGGAATTCTGAATAAAAGATGATTACTTCCTTTTAATAGTAAGGTACATTTTTCTCCGTGTAGCCATTCGGTGATTTAATTCCGATTTAAGTGCTAAACAGCCTTTTAAAAGTTCAAAAAGAAAAGAATGTTACGGAATTATAAAAACACAAGAGAAGATATTCTTTTATAGCACTAAAAGATCTAAGAAATGTCGATTCGAAAGCAAAATATCCTGTAGAAGCTGAAAGTTGTGACTAGACCTAGAGACAGCTTCTCGGCGATTTTAATTCTGATTAGGGTGCTGGACAGCCCTTCAAAGGTTTAAAAAAGTTTTTCTGAGGAACTCAGCTGACGCCTAATAAAAAATACAAGAGAATAGGGATTTTTGTTTTTGGCACTGAGCAAGAGAAATTATCTCGTCGAAGCTTATAGTTCTGACTAGAGTTCCTTAGAGCCCCTTACAGATTTTAATTCCGTAT